CCTGTCTCCAGATTGCTCCCCAGCTGGCCTGGGCTCCAAATGTGGACAACTAGGGGCCTTGTGTTGGCATCTTTATATTTATTTCATATATTAATTTACATGGGGGCAAATGAGTACCTCTGTGAAAAATGGGACTGGGAGTCTGATCTCAAGATTCAAGGGTGTGAAACTCCGGTGCGTCTAGACAGTCCCAGGCAAGCGTTGTATTTAAACCCGGGAAAAAGTTAACAGTGGTTCCGGGCAGCGATTTACCATGATGCCTTAGTGGACGTAGACACTGATCTTGGAACTCAGCTTAGTGCATCGCTCTGGCAGCTTTTAATGTATTCCGGCGCTGAGGTATCTGTATGTGTAAATGTGTGTGCATGGAAATGGATGCCCAGATTTAGAGGATTGTTGTCCCTGAGGGCCCAGGCACCTTTGATGGGGAAGCTCACCTGAGTGAGCCGAGCATAGAAGACAGAAATGATCTCTCTTGCCTCACAGGAGCTGCTATTGAGGACGACTTTACAGACACCTCCCCCGTTGCTGGGTCATAGCTGCGTATCTGTGTGATGCTCGTCGCTGGCAAGACCTCACGCGATAGCAGAGACACCTACGGCACCTGCAGATTTCTGGTGTACCGAGAGCAAGGTGGCGACCCACTGCAGGTCAGCTGGGGCTGTCGTAGCGGCCAGTAGTGTTATCCTATGGACACTGGGGACCTGTGGGCGATGACAGTGTGGGTCTTAGCAGATGGGGGGGTAGAGTGCAACCCGACTTGGATGCGGAGCCCGGTGGAGATGGGGGGCCCAGGAGGCTAGGTATGCATGACCAGTCGGCAGAGGTGACTGGTCACCATGGGCAGGTGTGAACACTCATGGGCTTATTGGAAGGCTCAGGGAGGAGGATCTTGGAGACCCGGGCCACCTGCCAGGCCCGGGCCAGGAAAATAGTGCCCGGAGCACCCAGCCATGGGCTGACACGGGAGCTATGACGTAACCATGGATCAAGACTAGGACATTGGGATCAAACTCAATGAGAAGAATATTCCGCCCACCTTTTGTTTGGGTGTTACTTTATTCTGTTTTGCTTCCCGCGCAAAGCTGCTTCCTCCTCTGTGTTCCCCGTGGCTCCTTGTATTTGCTGTATTTCCTCACCTCCCACCTTGTGCTCTGACGATGCGCGGCTCATCCCCACTTATGAAGCACAAACCCCCCCGTAGACTGGGGCTGGGCCTTATATAACTTGGCTCTTCCCAGCAGGACCAGCCTCGTGTTAGGGGAAATATTTGTTCACTAAAAGAGCGGATCAGAGCCAGCGGTAGGAACAGGTCTGTTTTCCCGCTCCTCGCCATGACCTCAGAGAGACTGGGTGAGGAGTTTAGGGGTGAGAGAGAAGGGAGCGGGGAGCAAGCTACCATATTTATAGGTGAGTAAAGCTTGGCAAAGGAAATGAAACGTTTGCAGTCATCGCTCCTTTGCAAAGCTTTCTTTTCCCACTTACGGGCCAGCCCTCCAATTCTGCAATCTGAAAAATGACAAAAATCAAGGGCCACGTGTGAGGCAGTCCCCACGGTCCCAGTGGCTATTTTTAGGTCGTCGTGACACGGTTTCGGCAGTGCGATGCTTCCCCGGCTCAGCGTTACTGTCGTTTTTCTGACTCGTGTTTGTTTCTCACGCTCACCCTGGCCCCGGCCCATACTCTTTACCTCATTCTTGCCACGCCGTTTCCCTATTTGACCATCCAAACTGGCCTGCCTAACAGCTGGCCCCAAGCCACTTCCCTAAAACGTCTCTGTGGATAGCCACACTTTGTGGAACTTGGTTGATGGCCATCTGTCGCTGCGAGGGCCCCACGGGCCCCAGGGCATTGCGTAAGGGCGGAGGCGGCCGACGGCCGAGTCTGAGCTCCCACCACCGGGAGCGGGCAGAGGTAGGGGAGCTGTAGTCAATGCAGCAGCAGAAGTGTCCTCTCTTTGTCCCAGCAAAAGTGGAGCCTAACGGGGCCGAATGCCGCCTTGGTACTTCATCGGTGATGAGGAGGTCCAAATCGCAAACCTCTTCCGCTCCTCACCGGGGCCCACCCAGTCACGTTCCTACTGGTGACAGGTCTCCGTTACCTCCCTCCCTCCCCTCGTTCCATTGTATCACTGTAACATCCAGTCCGAGCACAGAGCTGGGAACAACGACATCACCGAAGTTTTTCGACCGTGGAAATGAGGTTAGGCTTTGGCTCATGCTCACCCCCCAGCTCACTTTGCAGAGTATGTTTTGCTCACACGGGGAGCTGAGCAAACCCCTGGCCGTGCGGAGACGGTGGAAAGTGAATTGGATTTGGAAACGGGGGCCCTGAGTATAAGTCCCAGCTTCAACTTTTCCCCAGCCACAGGACCTGGGGCATGTCATTTAATCTGTGAGGCTTCAGGCCTTCGGTGCTAGATGACCTCCCAGTCACTTCCATCACTCGCCCTCTCTGATTCCCTTTGCAGATTGACCGATACTGTCATCGGTTGGCTAACATCCATTCTTTCCAGCCACCACAAGTGCCACTAATTGGTCTCCCCGTCTTGTTCTTCTTTAATTTCCTCCAGAGTCATCTCTCCAATCAATCATTTACTCCTCCGCTTAAAACTTTCCCACAGACAAGCCCTTACCTCCTACGGTCCAGATTCACTGATGTGAATTCATGAGCCGGCTTTTCCTGTCCTCCAATTCAGCCCCACCCTCAGCAACTCCAGCCCTTTGCAGATGCTGTTCCCTCTGCGTGAAGATCTTTCCCACGTCTGTCTTGACTTATTCCTTCTCATTCTTTGGGTCTCAGCTGAGACATCAATTCCCTGCCGAAGCCAGCTCTCAACATCCTTCCTGGGCACCCACAGCACTCTGTGCTTCTTCCTGTTATAGTCCCCTCACCGTGTTGTCTCTGTGGGCAATTTCCTGTCTCTCAGACAGACGCTGAAGGCAGCATGGTGCCTTGCACACCGCTGTGTCTTCAGTTGGTTAACACAGTGCCTGGCACTGATGAATAATCGAATGGACACATGATACTCTCGCACCGGACCCCAATCTCATTGCAACTCTTTTCTCCACCGACAAGCTAAGCTCTCTTGACTGCTGCTTCTCATCTTTGCGGCCGCCACAATCACTCCCCAAGATACCAGTGGCGTTAGGTGCTTTTCTACCCTCTTGGTCTCTGAAGATAAGAGGGCAAAAGTCAGGTGTGACAATGGGTGACCGCCTTCCAAGTCGTTAGGTGGAAGAAGTTAACAGACCCAAGATGCTACCGTATATATAAACTCCAAAAGTTACACTCAGCAAGGAGAACTCAATCCGATGAAAGTCCGCCCAAAAAGGCAAAAGGATGGAAATTCGTGTGAATAATCTGCCAGGTGCCACCCTGCTTCGGGTCCACACATAATAATACGAGAAAATATCTTGATATATACTTACTCTTACCCAACCTCAGGATCCAGATATTCTGTCTTTAGGGATTCAGTCCTATGGGTTAAGCCAGATATGGTAAGTACATGGCACGAATCTTCCCACCTGCCATTCTTACACTATGGACAGATATTGCTAAGGATTACAAAACTCTTTTTGTAGGATCTCAGAATCCTTCTCGACACTGTGCTCCAGAATCAACTGCCAGTAGGTGTCCAACCATCACCTGCTCCCTAAAATTGTCCTTTGTTAGAGGAAGGGGGGGGACGGGAAACGGGACAGTGCACAGGACCCCAGGGCGCCTGGTCAGTTAAGCCTCTGACTTGATTTCAGCTCAGGTCGTGATCTGACAGCCATACAATTGAGCCCCGTGTCAGGATCTGGGATAGATGTGGAGCCTGCTTGGGATTCCTTCTCTCTTTCTCTACTCCTCCCCTGTTCATGCTCTCTCTCTAAAAAAAAAAAAAAAAAAAAAAAAAAAAAAAAGCAAAGGCCCCAGACTGGAGACCAGTGTAGAGTTCTAAGGTAGATTTATTGAGCAAGTACTTTCTTTCTTCAAAAGAAAAGAAGCAAGAAAGAAAGATGTGGGGCACTCAGAGAAGGAGAGGTGAAGCAGGGGAGGAGGGACATACATTCCAGAAGGAAACAAAAGGCACGGGAGGAGCCATCATCTGAGTTCTGGGCACAAAGGTTATGGGCTCTGAAGCAAAGGACGGCGAAGCCAATGAAACAAGCAGTGTCCTATGGAATGTGCTCTCATTCTGGCTGCTACCTCCAGCAGAGCCCTATACTTAATTGAACCTCCATATATAAGGAGGGATTGGGGGATTACCCAGACTGTCAGACACGAACGGCTTAGATGAGTCTAGACTGGAGAAGGAACAGCAAGATTAGCTTCTGATCTGCAGGGATTACGCTTGGCATGCCCCTGTCTGTAGAGCAAGATACGGTAGCGGATGAGAAGGCGACAGCATGGGAAGGGGGGCGGTTCTAGTCATTGGGTGGAAGGCCAAGCCTTTTCCCTTGATTACAGACCATTGGGCAGCGTTCCTGAGTTTTGGTGGCAGCAGGTAGTTGAATAATGAAGTCTAGGCCAGCTCTCCCGTGCCTCTAGCGTGGCTGGTCTGCAAGGCGCTGGGAAATTGCCCCAACACCCTGTAGGAGATCTGGTGCCGGATGTTGATGCAAATAAGCCCCTAAAAATACAGGCAACAGAAACGGGCCAAAGAAGCATGCCCGAGCCATCAAATGCCTTTTTAATTGCAAACGGAACCAACGATCAATATTTTCTTGGGGGGAGTAACATGCATAGCTGTGCAATGATGACTTCTTCACAAGACAGAGAGAGGAGTGTGCAACTGCTCCCTGTGCACTCACACCTGTGCACTCTGGCACAAGTGACGTTCCCGTGAGCATCCACATCAAACAGTAAGAATCTTTCCTGCCTAACGATGTAATGATGGTTAAATCCCTGTTAACCCAAGATGGAGGCGCTCCTATAGAACAGAGTGCTTCTTCTGGGGGTATCCAGAGTCTTGAAAGAAAAGTCTAAGGACACTTCCTCTCTGCGATGCATACCTGCTGATGTAAGTGAGGCTGGCCACAGCCAACAAAGTGAGTCCTTTCTTCTTCAGCGGGTAGCAATGTGGCCTCAGGATGACTTCAACCAGCGAGAAGGGCAGTATGGATGTGTGCTGGAGGAGAAGAAATGATATAAATCGTCACGTCAGACAGCCCCGGTGGCCTGCCATGCCCCCAGTGCTCTCCTTCCTTTCCAATCTAACTTCTTATGCAACTACCAGCTGAAACTTCCCCAGACTTGGCTTGCATCATGCTCCTTAGACGCCCAAGAGCCTCCAATGGCTCCCTAATGCCTGCCATACTGGTCCAAACTCCGTTGTCTGGCCACCAAGGCTCTTTG